ACCCGTTTGGTTTCACCTATTTTAAGATTAAAATATTACTTTTTTTTTTTTTAATAAAAAGGGTCATATTCATATTTCAATTATTTTGAAAATCACAAAATTATTACTTTTTTTCAAATCATAAAGTTATTTGAAGTGATAAAGTTAAATTAAATAAAAGATTTTAAAAGATGTATAAAAAAAAATAAAAAAAATAACGGCCGACAATGCCAATAGGGTAAAATTTATCCTTTATTTAATTTAGAGAATAAGCTTAAATAATCCTCAGTTCTTAGGATTACAGTGATTGTGGGTGTGTGTGTGTGTGTTTTTGTCCATTCTTATTACCTATAGGTAGTTTTAGCTTTTAGATTTTAATGGATAAGATTTACTAGGTTAGGATCTAGGATTATGGTTTAGTATTTTGAATAGATATGTTATACAAGGTTAGGATTTATGTTTTTTTGTTAAATGTTTTCACGTGTTTATGATATAGGATTTAAGATGATGGAATTTTTAGAGTACTTTTTGTGCGTGGATGAGGGGCTAGCTATTAGAGAGCAGGCTGGCGGGTGTGGGGGGAAGAGAGGGGTGATTTAAAGATATTGGTTGTATTAAAGAGCTTGGTTAAAAAAAAGTGGTGGTTGTGATTTTGTTGAGTTCTATTTCTGTTATGGGGGGATTAAAGTAGAGGAAATATGAGATTTATGGATTTGAATTTTAGTTGCATCAAAATTTCCTAAAATTTAGTGATGCCAATAGGGTAAAATTTATCCTTTATTTAATTTAGAGAATAAGCTTAAATAATCTTTCAGTGTTAGGGGATTTTAGAACTAAAAAGTTGTGAATAAAGGTGTGTATATTATCACAATTAACCAAATGGTGGAGCTTAAAAGTTTAGAGAGAGAAAGGGTGATTTAAAGATATTAGCTGTATTAAAGAGCTTGGTTAAAAAAATGAGGTGGTTGTGATTTTGTTGAGTTCTGTTTTTGCTATGGAGGAGAATAAAGTGATGGGGGATAGAGAAATATGAGTTTTACGGATTTGAATTTAATTTGCATCAAAATTTCCTAAAATTTAGTGCTACCAATAGGGTGAAATTTATCCTTAATTTAATTTGGAAAATCATCCTTCAGGCTTGGGGGATTTTAGAACCACCAAGTTGTGAATAAATTTGGTGTTTATATTATCACAATTAACCAAATAGTGGAGCTTAAAAGTTGAGAAAGAGAGAGAGAGGTGTGATTTAAAGATATTAGCTGTATTAATGAGCTTGGTTAAAAAAAAGAGGTGCTTGTGATTTTGTTGAGTTCTGTTTTTGCTATGGTGGGGATTAAAGTGATGGGGGATAGAGGAAATATGAGATTTATGGATATGAATTCAGTTGCATCAAAATTTCTTTAAATTTAGTGATAGCAATAGGATGAAATTTATCCTTAATTTAATTTAGAACATAAGCTTAAATAATCCTTCAGTCTTAGGAGATTTTAGGACCATCAATTTGTGAATAAATTTGGTGTGTATATTATCACAATTAACTCAATGGTGGAGCATAAAAGTTTTACAAAATCAAATTATGGAAGTATTAAAAAAAAAGGAAATTTAAATGATAATGAATGAACTTGATATGATGAGAGAAGTTAGGAAGATCGTAATTAGAGTATGGATATTGGTGAAGTGAATTTTAACTAGTTTTGACGTGGCAGGGGGTGGGGGGGGGGGGGTGTCGGGAATTTAATTTATGATTCTTTAAAATAATCTTGGGCTCTGATTCAATTTGATATAGAATGAGGCAGCACGACAGTCCTTGAAGCCTTGAATAAATTCACGGGAAGAATCAAAGAAAGGGAGTTGAGCATAAACTAGTAGGTGAAATGAAGCATGTCAAGTATCATTTCATTCAGCCATTGTTTGCTTTGTATGCCCTTTTAGATCTTGTTAATAATAGAAGATTTTACAATTTAAATACTAAACTTTTCATTATCCTAAACAACTGACAGGTAAATGTTACCCTTGATAGTTACAATAAGGTCTATCAAAAGAATTCAAGTAAACGGCTATGAGATGATGGTTGCAAACAGAAAGACATACCCATGAGGATTTCATTGATTTCTTATAAGTAGTCTCCATTGCAACGCTATCTTGTTGAATTGCAGATTATGATTCCTTAAATAATGCTGGACTCTGATTTCTTATAAGTGGTCTCCATTGCAACGCTATCTTGTTGAAGCCTTGAATAATTGGAGGGTGAGAATCAAAGAATGGGAATTGAACATAAGCTTGTAGGTGGAATGATGCATGTCAAACATCATTTCATTAATAGTTATAGTTTGCTTTTACATGCACTTCTCTATTTATAATAAAGGATCTTACAATATAAATACTAAAATTTTCATTATCATAAAAAATTGACAAGCGATAGTATTACTCTTTAAGGAAATATTATAGCAATTCAACTAAACGGCTATGACATGATAAGTATGCCATGTTTGTTCTGCATGATTTTGTTTATCCCTATTATAGTCAGGAATTTCCAAGCAAGAAAGAAACACAACACATAATGAGCAAAGCTATCAAGAGAGTTTTCTAAGTAATAATGGTAGGAATTTTTTTATTAAGAAAGTCATCGAAGCATTTATTTTAGTAAAACTAGAAACTTCATGGTGGTTCTGGATTGGGTCTGATTAGAGATTGATAATGGTGCCTGATTGGTTTCATGATGATTTTGCTTTGTTGCTTTTGCATCCTTTGTAATAAAGAGCTAAGTGTTCTACTACTTGTTGCTTAACAATGGCAACGATAATTCCGTTGTGTCGAAGATAAATTTGTTGTCACTATAAGGACAAGTTTCTTATTTTGTTTAGTTTGACTTTCATTATAAGTGTGTATTAAAGTTTTAATGACGAGGTTTTGTGTTGGATTTTCCCTGGAATATTATTTTAGCCATTAGTTTGCTTGGAAACTGTCTGGGCTCGTTTTAAGGATTTTATAGTTTTCTGTAAAATAAAAGGTTTCGAGCTGAACCCCTTTTCATTATGTAGGTGAATCTTTTGTTGATGTTCCACACCTACTTTAAATACTTTTTGTTTCTAGATGTACTTATTTTTTATAATGTTGGTAGGTATTATGCATATATTTTTCCTACTTTATGATTCATTATCATGTTCGATGTATTCTTGCTCAAATATTAAATTAGTTTCTCTAATGACGCCTATGATTTGTTGGTTGTGTCTACTTTATGATTCATTTTTAAGTTTGATGCATTCTCTAACAAATATTAATGATCTCTAAAAATTTATGTGATTTGTTGATTGTCTAACTAATCTACGCCACCTCTATTTCGGCATGAATTTAAGTTAAAATTTCGTGTTAAAAATGAATTTCTTCGATGGACATGATGCAAAATAATAAATATTAGAGTGGTAAAATATGGAATGATAGATTGATAAATTGTGATAGAAAAGTACCGCTTAGAATGAAAGAAAAATTTTATAAGATGGTGGTGAGACCTGCAATGCTTTATGGCGCCGAATGTTGCCTTTTAAAAGAGAAGCATAAAACTAAGTTAAGTGTTGCCTTGAGAATGCTTAGGTGGATGAGTGGCTTTACACTTAAAGACAAAATGTGAAATGAATCTATCTGTGATAGGGTGGTGTGGCTCCAATGGAGGACAACATTAGAGAAAGTAGTCTTAAATGGTTTGGTCATATTAAACTCCGACCATCTGATGATCCGATTAGGAGAGTAGTTGTTTTAGAGTAGGCGGACAAAATTAAAGTGGCTTTACACTTAGAGACAAAATGTGAAATGAATATATCCGTGATACGGTTGATGTAGCTCCAATGGCGGACAAAATTAGAGAGAGTTGTGTTAGATGATTTGGTCTCATGAAACGCCGACCATCTGATCCGATTAGGAGAGTAGATGTTTTAGATTTGACTTATGTTAAGAAAGGCAGAGGTAGACTTACAAAGACTTGGGCATGTTGTATAAAAAATGATCTCATTTTTTTAGAATTAAATGAAAATATGACACTCAATAGCACTCAATAGAGAAAAAGGATTCATGTAGCCGACCCCACTTAGTGGGATAAAGTTTGGCTGTTGTTGTTGTTTGTTGAGTGAATGGAGGGCATCACTTATTCAAGCTATTGTAGTGGAAAGTAGGTTTACATGATTTGGGCATGCATAAATGAGGGTTAGAAGAGGCATTTAGAAATGTAGTTGAAATTTTTGGAAGGATTATGAATGGACCTAGTTGGATCAAAATTTATTTAAATTGAAGCTGTGCAAATAATTTACAAAATTAGATTTTACATTTCAAACACTCGACAAGAATAAATGGAGAACTAAATTTCATTAAAGCTAAAGCCCAAGCGGTTATGTTAAGATTTGTGATGATGATGTTGATAATAGATGTTGCTCATTTTGTAAAAACTCTCATTTACTCTATTTTCCATCTTAAAAAATGTATTTTTTATCGTCATTGATTCTCCACTGCCACCATTTTTGTTTTCTATATATATATATATATAGGTAATTTATCCCGTGGCTCTCACTAGATGCATCAAGTTCATCTGGCATATTTGAACGAAAAGGAAGGCTTCATGTTTCTGCATCAGATGTCCATTTGAAATAAATACCGCTGTTTTCTTTGCAAATTGGAAAAAAAAACTTTTGTCTACGTTGATTTTTTTTTTTTTCTGAGAAAGTTGTTTACTGTTGGTTTCTGTTCAACTGGTTAATATGCAGAGTTCTGAAGTGTTGATATCTTATGTTTTTGGCCATCATTTGTTTTGTGGCATTGCCCTTGACCCAGATGATGGGCCGTAGCTCATGTCAGATAAAAAAGAAAAAAGAAAACAAAAGAAAATGATACTTCATTTTTTTTTTCTTAATTACGAAGAAAGTAGTTTTAATCATTATAAAGTTTTCAAGGTTTCATATTTATTTTCTTTGCTTGCAACCCTTCATTGTCAATTGCAGGAAATGTATCTTAACTTGCAATACTGTTTTTTGCAGGTTTCACCCAGTATGTATGGGAATGACAATTGAAGATGCCAAAAAGCTGGATCATTTCCTTTGTTCAGATTGTTCCTCTGATGATGATGCCAAAAAGTCTCCAAATGGGTTTCTTGATTCCTCAATCTCTGAGCCAAAGGTGAGTATTATGCTGATGATCTTACTTTAATGTTTCTTTTGTATAAGTTTTTATAAAATAGGTAGCAGGCGTGTGCCAAGTCTTTTGATTCCCACCCTAATACCATTGAAGAAGTATGACTAATTTTTACTACCATGTTGATACACTTTATTGTTCTATTCTATCATTCTAGCGTCAATTGATAATAAGTGTTGCGCCATTTCATCTGGTAAACAGTTATACATTTTAATTTGGTGGTTCATTCATATCTTGTAATTAAAGAGAGAAGATCAGCTGAACTTTTCTTGAATAGGCAATTAAAGGTTTTGTGCAAAGTAAAGCTTTGACAGTGGTTCTGTTAATTTCTATTTTAGGACAAGATAAATACATATTCAATAATTATTGTATGCTTCAGAAACTGAAAATGATCGAATCACATTGCTAATAATTAACTGTATGTGGGATCTTGGATAAGTATTTAACTCCCTTATTTTTTATTAATGCCATATTTTTTTCCTACCAGATTGATACATGTGCTCTTCCCATTCCTCACCAATTTTCTGAACCTTTGGTTCTCTCATCGCTATCATTTTTTTTATTTGCTTCACCATGAATAAATCAAACAGGAAATATGAACCCAGTGCAGAATTTAATGTCCTTTGAAGTTATTAGCAATTTCATGAAAAACTTTTATTTCAGCATATTACTAATTTCTCTTTTGTGATTCATTTGCTTCCATGCCTATATGAAATTCATCCCCTCATTCGATGTCCTGTAGGTTGAGACGAAGAGGCGAAAGAGGTAAATTAGATCCATTGAACGTTCTTCGAGATGGCAGTTTGTATGTTTTGTTATCCTTCTTATTGTGCTTAGCTTCCTCTATCCATTGTTGTTTATGTGGGAATTTGTACAGCGCAGAGGGACAGTAGACAAAAATATATTTAATAATAATAAAAAAAATGGTGATGTTTTCTGCTGGCAAGTTGCTGTGCTGAAATCATGTAGGGCTTTGGTCTGATATTTTCCTATTTAGCAGGGTATTTCAAGAGCGTTTGTTTTCTCACTGCTACAGTTTTCATCCAAAACTACGAAAAAAAGCCAGCTTATTTTACTCATTTTTTTTAACTTTCTGTTGCTTTGGTTTTTATATGGTACTTATAAACTGCTGCATATTATCAGGTTAAATCTTAGAAATGATTATATGATATTGTCACTAATTTATGGATATGGTATGGCACTTTTGTTCTATGTTAACTGGGAAAAATATTACATTAGAACTCCTAATGTAGAGCTACGTTCGGATTGAAATATCCGCTGTGTTACGGAAATATTTTATCTATGTTATTTGTAAAAATGATGTGTTATTTGAATATTATATGGTGTTATTTGATTATTTTACGGTGTTATTGGAATATTCCATCGCGTTACTTGATTTGGGGCTGAAGTCATAACACATCATTTTTACAAATAATGCAGATGGAATATTCCCGTAACATAGTCGAATATTCCAATCCGAACGTAGCCCTACTTTGGGAGCCTGATGTAATAATTTTCTATGTTAACTGGTGGTGAGCTTATGCTTGCAGTATTTGATTTTTGATCTAAGGAAACATTTTGTTATGGTTGTATACATACATACGTACCTAGGGTTTAGTATAGATTAATTGTAAATTGTTATTATTTTAATGAATAGGTGGAGCATGTTCCATTTATGTTACATGATCATTAAAAACTAGAATATAGACTCATTTCTTTTTGGGTAAAGTATAGATTCATTTTAATAAATTTTCTATTGTGTTGACGTTCTTATAAACATGTAGATTGTTAATTTGGATGATACGGCCACATTGGCATGCATTGAATGTCGCTATATTTCCTTTAAATCAAATGCATAATGTGCCTTCATGAAACTTGAATGATGGCTACATGCTGTCGCTGCCAAGCTCTTAATTTTTTTTTTTTTCATCCAATGTCATCCAATGTCAAATGCTGTTAAGGGATGTTAATTGTGTTTTCAGTACTGAAATTTGAATTAGAATGTTTTTTATTTGAGTTAATATAAATCAAGTTTATTAATTTTAAGAAATTATTTTTTTATTAGTAATATTATATGTATAAAATCTCAATTTTTGCCATGTCTTTGAAATAATGTATCAAAGCAATTTGTTTCAAGTTTATGTAATTGCATTTTGTACGCCTTTTTTATTTTTATTTTTTAAAGTTCATTATTTGCTGCTATAGCTTTTAGACGCATGATTATATTTTAGAGATAATTGCATGCACAACACTCAAAACATTGCTATTTACAAAATTTATGCAAACTTTGTTTTTCTTTTGAATTATGAAATCGATGTATTTATATGTCAGGATCAAACTATTAAGAATTTTTAAACTATTGAGAATTTGATAAAAGTTATGGCATGGGATATTATCATGAAGAATTTAAAATATAATTAACATACTATGCTAGATTTTATTGATATGGGATCAAATAATGATTGTTAAGAAATATGTTTTTTTTTTCAATATCTTCATTTAGTTTGTTGTTTTTGTTATAGGTGAGCTGTGGGAATTAGCCTTTTTTAATTTAAAAAAATTGACTTTATAAGTAAAAATTATTACTTATTTATGGTATGTTATAACTCAACTTTGTTTAAATAATACTTGAATGAGCCTTGAACTATATCTAAAAAAAGTTTGAATATAGACTATAAGATTCAAATATGATTTGTAAAAGAAAAGAATATGGTTTTAGCATAATTAAAAAAAGGTTCAAAGTGTTGGAGTCTCTTACAATCATGGATTGAATAAGAATGGAGTAAAGTTCAAATAAGATTTCATTACCATTTGAATATGCACAATGTAGTACTATATTAGAGATATGAAAACATCTCTAGCATAGTAGTGCAATTAAAGATATAGATCCATAGCATAAGAGTATAATTCAATAGATAAAATAAAATCTACACAACAAATTAAATTGAGAAGTTGATAAAATTGGTTAAGTAATCATGGGAAGGTATTAGAAGATATTGTAATCATACTCATTTGATATATGATAATATCATTAGGAACAAATTTAAAATCATTAAAATTAAATTTTCTACAAGATAACCAACATTATAAACTAGTGCAATTTACCTATCAGAAGGTGAATATATAGGTGTTTGAAGAACATTAATATTCAAACTCTTTTTGTGAAGCACGTCATAATAATAATTTGTTCCCCTTAGTATGGCAAACATATTAAAAAAAGTCACCTATTATTGATTTTAGAAACACTTTTATATTAAATATCAATCAATGCAAAATTCATTGATGTCAACTGTGTACTTCTAATGTTGAATGCAATTATAATATTAATCTTAAATTATTTAAATATTTCTTCAATCACATTCAAGCTATATATGAGATTTAATTAAGCATTATATTGCCTCTTTTCATGTATGATTAGATAAGACATCATTAAACCCGAAAGAACACCTACTATGACATTACAATTATTGAAGATAACAAATGTATATGTGAATGATACTAATAGTTTATTGTTGATATTTGAGGAAAAGCACCAAGGTCGACTTAATCAATAAATTCAGTGGATCAGAATAGAAAATGGGTTGAAAGTTTTTATGACTTAAATCTTGTTTAATTCGACAAATGAAATTGCTCAAAATTAAATATAAATTTATAAAATTATTTCATTCTACTATGATTTATTTAAAGGCCTATTTTTTAATAAAATAACTTTTAATAATTCTTCCAATTATATATGGATTAAGTTTTTAGCAATTTCATTATCTCAAGCAATATTCATATTCAATTCAAGTGAACATTATCATATATAATACATGCATTTATGATGCATTATCCATTTCATTTTAATCATGTCATCTTTTAAGCATGAAGTTATTAAATTATTAAAATTACCTTTTGGATTAACATTAATAGTGATTTTCTCTCTCCTAAATAATTTCATGATAATATCATCATATCATAACAAAATTTATATGATTTATTTTTAACTCTTTAATTCATCAATACCACGAGAAATTCACATAAATTAATGTGTACTTAAATATGAATAAAATATTAATATAAACTATTCTTTAAGAATTGTTTAATATTTAATTTTTTTCTCTCAATAATAATTCCAATAAATAATTTCACTATTAAAAGTAAATAAGGCAGAAATTTTCAAATGAATTGAAAACATTAATTTCATAAATATTTTTAATTGAATAATACATCACTTTAAATCTAAAATTGTCACCACATAGGATTTATTCATTTGAATTTTAAAATAATATTTTTCTCTCTCAAAAAAATAAAAATAAAAATATAATTTTATAACTTTATTATGATTTATGCTTAATTTGTAATGCATAATTACATGAATGGTTGAAAAATATTTTGGTTTTGTTGTGTGTCCACTATATATTATGAAGATTTATATTTAAGAGAATGAATGCATCACTTGAAGAATAATATACGACATGAAGAGGAAGAAATTTTACCATAAAATAGATTGAATCAATAAAATGAAAAAATTTTTTAATACTTATGTAACCAAAGATTTTTTTCCCATCTTACGAGTGTAATATAGAGTTTATTTTATTATGAGATTTGATATCCCTACAAGAGTAAGCTCTTGTAGTTAATTACATCCCTAGAGTTGTGGACTTCTAAGAATACTCTCAATTAAAGTATGACCTCATATCATGTAGGATTTCAATGTTTATATTTTTCAAATGAAAAATGTTCAAGATTTGATGAGATTTTAAAATGAAAAAAAAATCAAGTTTTACTCTAATTTTCTAGTAATTAAAAGGTTGAGACTTACGGTCTAATGATTATGTGTCATGGACAGGCCTAAGAAAAGGGTTAGTCAACTCTAGGAAGAAGGTGTAACATAGGGATTGAAATTACAAGATTGTTGAAAGAGTTATGTTTTGAGTTAAATTGTTGAAATGTTTGATTTAAAATATTTGAAGACTTGATTTTGAAAAATTGATTTGAGTTGAAAGTTTGATTTGAGATGATTTGATTTGGAGAGTTGAATTGGGGGTTGATTTGAAGTTCACTGATTTTAATGTTTTTAGTTTCAATATTATTTAAAGGTTATTTGAAGGTTCTTTGAAGGTTCTTCGAGGGTTTTTTGAGGGTTATTTGATTTGATATAAATAAGGTGTGGAATTTGAAAAAAAACGACGAAGATTTAAATTTAAAAGAAGAGGGTTGAAGTTGGAGTTTTGAAAATGTTGATTTGAAGTTTTGAAAAGTTAGATGTTTGAAAAGGTAGAATTTTTAAAGTTTGGAAAAGGTTTTTAATTTTAAAATGTTTGATTTGATTTGAGTTGAAAAGGTTTGAATTGAATTGAAATTGTTTGATTTTAGTTGGAAAGGTTTGATTTTAGTTGAAAAGGTTTGATTTCGAAATGTTAATTTCGGGGTCTTGAATCCAGGACTAATAGAATATGATTGATTAGAAGGATATCTTGATGGAAGTTGAAACCTAATCTTAAAGTAAAACTAGATTATATAAGTGTGCTAAGTAAGGGGGCTAACTTAATTTTTAGGCATACTATTTGTAGTCATGTTGCCAATGACTTTCCATCTTCTCGAGTTCATCATTATCCTTAAGCTAATAACCAACCGAATGACTAGAGGCCTCCGCTTAACACCATATCGATGGCCAATGTAGATCTTCTTATTGCAAGGTTTTTTTAGGTGCCTTTGTTAGTAATCATGGGTTTCTTCATTCTAGGGTATCTACATAGTCTAAGGGGGTTACATGTTTATTGTTTTATGTCTCACCCCTGAGCTCTAACTAGAGGTAATTAGTAGTCTAACATAGGCTTCTAGACTAGAAAAATCAAGGGGATGTGTGATCAACAAATATTATAGGGGTTCATATATGAATTGAACAACAAATATTGTATAATTTTATAAATCCCATCTTCAAAGCATAAGAGAAATGATGTTATGCAACTCTGTGTCTGGACTGTAGCTATAAGGAAGCTTGGAATTTCACATCTTCCAAATGGTGATGGAATTTCTCTTATGAGGGATAGATGGTACTTAGTGCTCGGCTAAATCA